TTAAAAAAAAAAAAACAACAAAGTTTGTGTGCGGAACCCACGGAGCAGAGGAGATAATTTAAAAATGGCCACACTGCCACCCTGCTGATCATTTTTATGATCTCATGGCCAGCATACTGTATGTGTAGTTTTCAAATGTGGATTACGTCACATTTTCACTGCAGTTCACTTGGCTCCTATACACGTTCCTTACTATATTCTGTCATGTCCTATTGTCCCCAGGTAGGCGGATTAGACAACAGTGCTAAGGGAGAAGTTGTCAATCATGTCCCAGGGATCATAGTCTGACACCTGGAGCACCTAGCTCCAAGACCATGTTGGCTTGGCATCCCTGGGGATGTTTAGGGGCCACCTGCAGGGACAAGAATGGAAAGAGGCTATACTGCCTCGAGGCTGACTTTGAAGGGCAGATTCCTAATCCCGGGCTTTGCTTTTTTTTTTTTTTTTTTTTTTGTAAGGGTCTATAAGGTCTCACTATGTAGATCGGACTTGTAGTGATCTGCCTGTGTTCAGCATGCTAAAGAGCTGGGATTACAGGTGCACGCGACCATAATAAATAATAATTATTTCTCATATGTTGTGAGATTTTACATTTATTTGTTTATGACTTTTTTTTTTTTTTTTTGTAAGGGTCTATAAGGTATCACTATGTAGATCGGACTTGTAGTGATCTGCCTGTGTTCAGCATGCTAAAGAGCTGGGATTACAGGTGCACGCGACCATGCCCAGTCTCAGTTGCCATCTCAGTGCGCCTTGGGAGCAGGGCCAGCACGGCAGGCTCAGGGATCAAACCCCTAGCCCCTGCATCTGCCTAAGCAGGCACTTTAATCCCCTGAGCTATTTGGCCGGCCCTATGGCTTTGGATTCTTAATATTAGCCTTGGAGTTGAGTGGAGCAGCCCACTAACATCTTGGATTCATCCACTCAAGGGAGCGTCTGCATTCCTCCAAGCCGATGGGCCCGGGCCTGGCTCACCTTGGGACTCCCTCCCCTCGCTGCTTCCACTGCTTTTCAAAACTCTGGGAGTCTGAGGTGGAAGGATCACAAGTTGAGCCCAGCCTGGGCAACTTGGTGAGAGACACCCTATGTTAAAATTGTTAAAAATATAAAAAGGGCTAAGGGGGCCATAGCTCTGTGTGAAAGACCTGGGTTTACTCCCAGGTAGCACACCAGAAGAAAAAAAAAGAAAGAAAAAGAAAAGGCAACTCATAAGACCACTCTCAGCCACAGTAAATGATTTCTTTTTATTAAAATATACTTAAAGGAATACTTTCCTATTCTTTTAATAGAAATTAAGAGGGAGTATTTCTTAACACAATCATGTTGGTCCTTGATGTTCTGGCAGCGTACACTGTGGGACCTTTGGGAAGTGTATTATTCCCTTTCATAGAATAAAACCTCAGTGCCACTGCCTCAAAGTTCTGCAAGTTCACATTATGTAAATATATGTAGTAAAATATTTATTTAAGGTTTCCATAAAAACGCCCAGAGAATAAGAAAGTGTCTCTTTGCTGGTTTTAAAGACTCTGCTGGGAATTTTGAGTGAAATTTAAGCCTCTCAAATATGTTTTGTTTGGCCACTGTCATGTTTTATCTCCGGTAATGAACTCTTTGTCAGTTTGTCAATTTTCACAAAGGACAGAAAGTTCATGTGTAGTAACAACACAGCATCCAAATGAAAGTTACAGTTGATATGGTAGAATAATCCCCTCTCTTTTCCGTTAGTCAATATTTACCTGTGAGGCCAATATATTATGATCCTAACTTCAAAAGAAGACACTTTATTTTACCTTCTCCAAGTGTTTTTAGATACTTGAAGTATCAGAACTCAAAGCTGAGTGTCTGCGATGTCTGGCCCAGTCACTTGGGGTCAAATTCCTCCTTCATCACAGACCGGTTCACTGCTTCTGGTGACCCAGTAACCCGGCTGCATGCGGTCAGGGGGAGGCTATGTCTTGGAGGGCCTGGTTCTCCGAGCACTGCAGACAGCCCTTCCTCTGTGAGACACTGCACCCTCATCTCAGCCAGTAGTGTCTCAGAGAACCTCAAGGTTTCCTAAGGTGTTATGTTACAGGATAAGGCTGGAAAACCCAAAGAATCCCCTGTAGAGGAATCTCTGAGTGTCAGAGCAGATGGAGATCAGAGTCAAATTCTTTCTCTTGCCTGAACTCCTTATTTTAATCACCCCATACTTAAACACTGAGGAAAGGATACCCCCAAAGAAGAAGCAGTGGCAGGAGGAGTGTAATAAAGAGCTTCAAACTGCAGATAAAATGCCTGACACCTTACGACTGGCCCTTCAGGTCACCAGTGGAGTCGGTGATGATGGTTAATCAGCCCTCCAAGTCCAAGTGGGTACAGTCAGTGTTCTCGTGAGTTAGCACAGAAAGTGGATCGATTGCTTGGGAGCAGCCAAGCCCACGGGTAGACTAGGCTCAGTGTCAGCTGGATGCTGGGGTTCAAATGAGGTCATCATGATTCTCCTTTCATTTCTTAGGCTTGTATCACTCTGAGTATGTGTGACAAAGATGACCCCAGGAGAGAGACCTCCATCCCTAACATTCCTGTCTGTTCTAAGGCGAGCTTAGAATAAATTGACTTGGATCACATGGCTTGCCAAGCCTGGTCACTGTGGGCAGGGTGGATCAAGGGGAGCTGCATCAAGTGTGTGCCTCTGTTTAAGTAGTGGCAACCCTGCATGCACAGCGTTGGTGTGTCTCTCCACCATAACACTGTCTTCAAACTGTCTTCTTATTTACGCCTGGACCCTGTTTTGTATTCTTTCCGCATTGTGCATTTTCATATACATGTAAGAACATGTATGTGTGTCTGTACATATGTGTATATTTGATAGATGATTTTCAGGATATTCAAGCATAGCCTTAGATTTTTAGTCTACTTCCTCCCCACCCCTCTTAGGCACAATTTCCCGAGCTTGGTGACTGGCCACTTCTCTGGCAGAACTGGGGAAGAAGGCCGGACCTGGCTAGAAGGGAGGTTCTAAAAGGAAAAAATTATATGGGTCTTTGCTCAGAGGGAAAAAAGAATAGGCAAACAGATCAACTCTTGCTTCCCTTACTCAGCAAGTACTGAGTACCCACTGTGTGCTGGGCATGCTTCTAAGCCCTGGTGTGAGCACTAAGGGAGGCCCAACCGCTGCGCTCACTGTAGGGGAGAGCAGACATAGGCATGTGAGCCAGTGGAGGTGTGCTGTGCTGTCCGGTGGGGGACAGCTCTGGGTCAGGCCACAGCCAGCACCAGCAGATGTGTAGTTGGGGCATGAGCAGTGCAGGCAGATGAAGGAGAGGGCAAAAGAGCCTCTTACTTGCGGTTCTCTTTCAGTTGACTGAGGAAAGGCAGGTGTTGGCAGGCAGCCCCTGCTGGGCTTACCCTCAGCACAGGAAAATGTGAGCCAGATAAATGTCTGTGTTGGGTGAGATAAGATGTGTTCAGGGGGTAGAAAGGAACTCCCACAGCAGCTGCACATAGAGTGAAAAGTGAGGCCACATGTGACGAGGTAGATTGGGGCACAACCTTGGCTCCCCAGGAGTATGTATGCACGCTGTCAGCAAAGTCTGGAGGGCTGGTCAGGGCCCAGGGCCAAGCAGGCAATGGGGTGGGCTGGCTCAGGTGATGGCCAGTGGGGACGGACGGAAGGTAGAGCTTCAGGAGGCAGGGCCCAGAGCTTCACTCTCTTTTAGTGACCCAAAAGAGTTTCTGCACCATCCAGAAAGAGTTGCCTAGCTTTTCAAATCTACCAGTGTTTATCTAAAGACAAGCCTTAGAAATGGGCAGCAGTCTGTCAAGATGGTTAATCTTACTTGTTCACTGTACAAACCCTGTCATCCTTTGGTATTCAAGGAGGCAGGGGACAGTAGTTGCATGAGTGAGTGCCTGGCAAGCCCAGGATGGTGGCCCTCGTTGAGACCTGCAGCATCCATGAGTGACACATGTTCATGGAGAGGATTCCTGGGCTGGGAGCGCCCTGGCCACCCCAGTGAGGCTGATGATCCTTCTTTGCTTTCACAGGCACTTTTCAAGTGGGCGTACACATCGCTGATGTGAGCTACTTTGTTCCCGAGGGGTCACAGCTGGATAATGTGGCTGCCCAAAGAGCTACCAGCGTCTACTTGGTTCAAAAGGTAAAAGCTCTCATTTGTTTCTTTAAAAATGGGCTTCCTCAGTCTGCCTTGATTTTTTTTTTTAAAAAATAGTCTTATCTGAATATCTTTTCTTATGTCTAGTAAGATCACTAAAAATAGTGCTTACCTTAACTCTGTGGTTGCACATTCTCTTCAAAGATGCTGGGAAGATGGGTGTGCACCTTAGGCTCTTTGCAGAGGCTCTGTGCCTCACAGCAGGTGCTAAGCATCAGAAGAAAGTGAGTGGAACACCTGCTGTCAAAGGACTGTCCTAGAGACCGTCGGCCCACACCAGCCACCAGTTTTGAAGCCATTTGATTAGGACCCAGCCACTGGCAGTGGCTGCCTTCACAAGATAGCAGCAGAACACTATAAACTCACTGTTTATTGTAGGACCTTTAATAAACCATTTCAATACCTGTCCTAAATGGTAGGCAGCAGCCCTGTCCTGCCCTGCCCTTTGGAAGGTTTCCAGTGGAGTTGGTTGGATGGAAACGTTGAGAAAGACAGACTGGAGGAGCTGGTCTTTGCCCACAAATCTGAGCTCCAGCACTCCTGTCAAGTCAGAGTGTACATAGGCCTCCCTCTGCCCTTTTGCGCAAGGAAGGAGTGAGACAGAATGATCTCAAGCACCCATTACACCCTGTGTGCCTGGCACATGCCTCCAGGTAACCACAAGAATCCATTCCTCTGACAAGTACTCCTGAGTAGCCACCTGGATGCTGCAGTCAGTGCCAGGGACAGAGAGAAATAAAAGACAATACATAGGTTATTTCTACCTGCTTACCACAGTTTGTGAATTCTTCCCGTTTTCTTTTTCCTCCTCTGACTTTCTGTTCACCATACTTTTTGGCTGTGTCCTTTCACTTCCTGTCTGACTTCTATTAACTCAGTGGTCTAACTATAGATCCCTACCCAGGTTGGCTTGAATTCTCTCTGCTCCCTCCCTTCCCTGTGCCTAAGATGTGGCTTTTGATGTTTGTGCATTGGCTGCACTAAGGTGAGAGGTGCGTCCACCCCCAGGTCACACACGTGGGACCATTCAGGTGCTCTCTACCTGCTGCACTGCTCATTCTGGAGCTTCAGATGTTATCCCCTAGGGCAGAATGCTGCTGGACTTCCAGATGTGACTCTACCAAGCCTAGTAAGCCATAATATCATGTGACCTTTGAGTGTGCAGCCATCTGCTAGCAATAAAAGCCAAAGGTCTACCAAACAGAAAGGCTGTCACCCAGGAGGTTCATCTTTTGTTTCCTCAGACCAGCCTTGTGCCTTGTACATACACTGCTGCACATGCATGGTCCTGGATCACTTACAATAGCATAATCTTTATGCCAACCTCAAGAAGGGAATGTTCTAGAATCCCTAGACTCCAGTTCTACAAAGTGTACAGATGATGCCCACAAAGATAGCAGGCACTCCAGAACAAACAGTCCTCTGGGACAGTCTAGAGGCTCCCAGGATTTCTGGTGTTCATCATGCTGCCAAGACTTCTCACAGTTCCTACTTGTCCACTATTTTTTTTTTTTTTTTTTTAGTACATGGTCTACAGGGTCTCCCTACGTAGTAGATTGGACTCATAGTGATCCTCCTGTTTACTGCCTTCCTAGGATTACAGGCATGCGCCACCACACCCAGTCTCAATCACTATCTCAGTGTGCCCTGGGGCCTTGTGTCTGCCTAAGCAGGCATTTTGATCTGCTGAGCTATCTGACTGGCCCATGTCCACTCATTATTAACTAACCTTTCTAAGTGGTTGGCTCTTTGGGGCCTTAATTATGTATCTCTGTCCTTTGGGAGCTGAAGATTTCATTGTCTGTGGCCCAACAGTTTACAGTGATGTCATTACTCTTATGGTAAAGGTGACGCTGGGAACCCCTTGATGGTGTCCAGCACTCTGGGAACTGTCCCAGCTGAGCTTCTTTGCTCCAGGTGAGAACCACAGCTGTTGTCTGCCATGGCTGCCCTCAGTACACAGAGCCTCCTCTCACCTGCCCCACAATGGTGCCTTCTGGATCGCTAACCCTAGGCTGTCTGAGCAGTGCTCTAGCTCCCCCTGCCCCAGAATTGGACAGCCTGTCTCTGGGGTTCAGCTTTACTTACCATTCATGAATGATCAGAACCACTATGTAGATAGTCTTGCTGTTCCAGAAATGGAACACTGAGTGCAGAAGGGGTCACAGTAGACTAGAGCTGTGACATTTTAAGCCAGAATCTGCATGATCATCAAATTCAAGAAACAGAGGGGCTCCGGGCAGGAGGTACGTCTTCTGCACAGCTGCCTCTGAGACCCATCACCATGAAGGACCTTCCGGAATATGATTAGCTGTGCCCTTAGCTGAGCACAGAGCTTTCTGCTAGACTCTGCTGCATCAAATGAACCTGTGCCTTGCTGGCCCCCATGGCCTCTGTCAGCCTAACTGCAGTGTTTGCATTGCTATGTCTAATCCTCACCCTTCAAGAATGTGGTATGAGTGCCTGACCCCAAAGCGCTCTGCTTTCCAGGCTTCCTCCCTCCCTAGCCCCACACCACGGCCTCTGTATCACATTGCTGTCTGTGCCGTGGCTGTGCTGGAGCCCAGCTCCACCACACTGCCCTTCAGGTTACGTCTGTACTTCAGGAAGACTTCTACAACTCTCTTTGCATTTGCCTCCATTGAACCTTTACTTGGAGCGAGATGGGACCTTCTCATGTGGTACTAGAAAAATGACCTTTAGTGTCACACTGTTACCACTGACAACATTCCTTGTCCATAGCTTTCTTCAGTCTTTACTTAAGGTCCTCATCTAGGGTGACCATAGCTTTACCTTCCCAGCTTGGGGGAGCCAGTCAGTACTTACGGGGCCATGAGTTACATTGTAGGACCCTGGATCTTCAGGCCGGCCCAGGACAGGAGCAAGACTATACCATGTGAACGGAGTCACAGAGTACATCCACAAGGAGGATGTGGGTGTGACGTTCCTCTAGGGTCCCACTGCCATCTACTAATGCAAAAACTGAAGACCAGTTCCCTAGGTCTCCAGAAATTTCCATAGTCTGCCAGTGTCACCTGCTCCAAGTCCTTTGCATATCCAGCCTGCTAGCACTTGCCTGCAAAATCTGAGATGGCCTTAAAGTGTCTAATTCACGACACCTGGCAATGCCATAGTTAATTGGGATTTGCTTTACCGGGAAAGCAAGAAGGGAACCACTCTCACTTCAGAGATGTACAGAGCCCACCAACACAGCTTAAAAAAGAGAAAGTAGCATGTATCCACAGGCAGTAGAATAATAATGGACTTTCGATGCTAGGGGAAGGCACATTGATACAGCTATTTTTGAAAACTGATAAATATTTTTAGAGCTGAACCTGGACATACCTTTGACTCAGCAAATCTGCTTCTAGATATGTACCCAATAAAATGCATAGTGTGTATATTATGAAAAGAATGTTCATTGGTACAGAATTTAAAAGATAAAAAAAAATCTGGAAATAAGACAGCACCTGTCACCTATTTAATGGACAGATAAAGCATGGCCTGTTCTCTCAGGCAGAGGCTACACAGCAGTGAGGATGAGCAGCTGACAACCCCCATTGGAAGGGTGAAGGAAACCAGGCACATGCATGCACACTGTGTGGTTTTATCAAAATAAGAGCAAAATCAGGCCAAGCCAGTCTATACCACCAGAAGCCACCACGGAGGGGAACAGGTCCAGTGGTAGGGACTCCCAGGGAAACTTGACGCGCATGCTGACTACATGAGTGTGCTGCCTGTGCAGCCGCACAGCACTTTATTTATGACTGATGCATTTTTCTGTCTAAATATATTCTGTAGTGAAATTTCTTGAGGCTTTTTGGGGTTACCTCCATGTCACTTTGGCTGTGAGACAAAGAAGCCATCTCATAGTTCAGGTGCCTCCTTCCTAGCTCAGCGCTCCTAACAACACAGTTCGGAGTCTACACGTAGACCCTGCTACATGGGACTCAGCTTGCTTCTTCCCACCTGGACGTGCTGTGGCTGAGCCCAGCCTTCACCCACCCAGGCCACTGCAAGGAGGAAGATGAGACGCCAGACTCTCTTTTATGTATAAAATGATAACGTTTGATGGAAAGAGAAACAGAAGCAAATGCTTACCCGTTAATCTTTGAAGCAATCTCTTAAAGATATTAAGTGAATAAATGTGAGACATTCTCTTTATGCAGGAAAAGTTAACTCTGTTCTTCAGATTTGAATATTGGACAGTAGTGGACATAGTTAGAGGACCTTTGAAGCAGGTGGCATTCTCTTGCCCACCTGCTACATTCTCCACTTACAACCAGGAATCGCACTTCAAAATAAGAAAATTAAGCAAGTAAAATTGGGCTAAATAGCTGAGCATGTCGCCCTTTCTGCTCTTTACTTGGCTTTCGCAGTTGTGGCCATATTCGTTGTCTCTTTGAGTCCCTGAGAAGCCTTGCCAGTGGCATGGGGACAGGGCCTGGTGCCTGCTACCTGCCCTGCCCCCCGCTTGGCAGGGCACAGACACAGCCGCAACCTTGGCCAGCAGCAGCCCTGTCTTCTGACGCCTTTGAACCGCTACTCTGACCTTTCTTCCTGCTCTTGTTATTTCTTACAGGACTGTGTCCAGGAACTTTTCTGCTGTTTTCACTTTACTTTGCCTATAAAGGTTCTGTTAAAAGCTGGACAAGCTGCTTCTCCCCTTCGGATTCCCTGCTTTCTCCTTTTGGCAAAATCGTTTTCCCAAACTTCATCACTGGGGTTGGAGTGCTGGGGGTTCCGGTTGATTTCCCATCTATAGGAAATGTAGCTCTGATTTCTTTTATTTTGGTGCTGACCTGGAAGTGACTGATGGTCAGAACTACAGTCTGAGCTGGCTTGGGGAATTACCCCAGAGAGCAGGACAATACACAGTGCAAGTAGTCTTGGGTCCAAGTCCCATCTCAGTGGCTTTTAAATGAAATTCTTTTTGTTGATACTCTGGTCACAGTAATAAGTGTTTGGTAACTCTTATTAACAAC